AACATTCACGAAAATACAGCTTGTTTCATTAACTGCACACACTTCTCCATTGGCAATGCGTCTCCAGCTCCACCGCATAATTGTGATGGCTTTAGTTTTAGCACCCAAATGTGAAGGATTCGACGGTAGGATGTCATCCATCGCATAGTGTAGCTAGTTTGCATTTGGACACTGTGAACCCTTCATAATGTTCCATGCAATTTTTCCAAAGTAAGACTAACGAACTTCGTCCGACAATATGCAACCGCCAGGTCCACACCTTTCGACCGCGGCTCCTTCGTGTATGCATCCACAGCCTATTTAATCTGACGTATTTATCCAAGTATTCTGTCCATCCTCGCCTCACAACTTTGCTCAGCGTTAGCCAGCGCCCGCATAACCACTGAATCGCATCGTACGTCAATGGCAGATCCAATGTGCTGGTTGACACAGGTTGCCTTCGACTTCGCCAGCGTGTCGCAGCCTTTCAACTAGTGGGACACGAGAGTTGGAAGTTGGCGAACTCGCACGGTCTGAGTCCCCTTTTGTGTTCAACCGATGACGTCTACATGATGTACACATGTCGGTAGTGCTCCACTGCCGTCATAGGTGGTGTAAATGTTAGCACAGGTTCTTGCGACCACGCAAGGTACATGCAAAACTGTTGCATTACTACGCGTACCAGTTATGCCTATTTCCGTTTTGGCACAAGTTTCTGCAGAAATTGTTGACCTTCATGGCATCCAGCACGTTATTCCCCTCCAACTAAAATATTTTTCTCTTGTCATTAACCAAATCGATGGGCGTGCCGAGCAACCATCTACACATCATTGCTCACACCGCATCGGCTCGCTGTGTGAGCAATGAGCACAGCATCCCCTAATTGTGGAGTTCGTTGAAGAGCTATTAAAGCAAGCGAACATCGGAACGCAGTCATTGCCAAGCCGTAAGCCTGCAGCCCAGCATGATAAAAAACCGAACGATTCTTCGAGGCTGCAAAATTTGACACACCAGAAATAGTCATGTTTGCAGTTAAGCAAAGTGAATGAAGTGGGGAAGCATTGCAAAGGCAAACGCGGTTTTGGGTGCGACAATCATCATTATGACAAAAGACGGAGAGGCTGCCAATTACAGGAACTTAATTTTGCTGAAGGATTTGGGTGGCAGACATAGAGGAACAGATCTGTCGTTGGCATTTTGCAGCACCGATGTGGGGTATAGATCCGCCATGGTAAAGTCTTTCGCACATTGGTTGCGCCGACACGAGCATCCCGTGGGACACCCGTTGCAGCTAAGCCCGAATTCATACGGTCTTTGATCACCTTCATTTCCCCTAGAGCAGTAGAACAGTTCATTATGTGCAGCAAAGCTGAGGTGATGAGTTAAAGTGGGCAAATGACACATACGCAGGCTTGTAGAGACAGACGGTGAGGTATTGTGGATCAGGCCATTCGGGATTGAGACCATCACATTGATGCACGGCGCAGCCCAACCGGGCAGAGCTTGCCCAAACGATCTTTTCAGATGGAAAACATGGGCAATACTCTGCCGACACACCACATTGCCATTAATGTGAAGCGAGTGCTTTGTGTGACTTAGCACTACAAGATGTTAGTCACTTCAGGTCAAAAGCGAGTAGTAGGTGTGGGGATAAGCACGTTGAGCTGCCTACCTGTTTGTAGTGGCTACAGACATTGCGACATGTATTGGCACTGAAATTGTAGAACCGGGCTTCACGCAGCCACTGGCAGACATATTCAGACAGCGATGGGTTATATTCGCTGGCGAGTGCAATGTTGTAACCAACATTGGAGTATAGTGGACAGAGGGAGGGGTCGGGAGCCTTAAAAAGGCATTGGGAGGCCCAAGATTGTGCCAGACGCTCCAACGTCATCGAGTATTTCTGATCGAATGAAAAAGAAAACAATGCACAAAACAGTGATGCGGGCGCTGTGAGAAAGTCAAGTTAAAGTGCTGATAAATGCATGGAATTGAGATGAAAGGTGCGCGTACAATGTGGTGGCGAACATTACCATGAGAAGCATATTCTTGGCAGGAGGGAAGACATTTTTTCGTGCGTTGAGGTGGGATTCCAGGACATGTGCTTGTTCAATCTCGTTGATAGGCTCACATGTTACAGCAGATGCGAGGATGACAACGTCTAGGGCAAATAAATGAACACACAAGAGAATACGTTGTGGAGCGATTTGTGCAAACAATGCCAAAGTCTACAAAGTTGATACATTCTAAACTCACAAACCACGAATGACATTGAGGCAACTGATCGGAGGTGTTGGGATGTGTGGCAGGTATTTATGTGTTCGTTTGACTCTGTGACTCGCGAGTGCGCCAAGCATTGGTTTGGCACGCGTGTACCCAATGCCCCTCCTTGCTTTGAAATCTGTGTTCGCTGGGGAGGAGACTGCCCTTTCCAGTAATCAGGCGGCTCCAGTTGTGAAGGAGCAGTCACATTACTGTCACATTATTGACAGGCATAGACTGACCCTGTACACTCTATTGCTTCATGCGTAGAAATGTGGCAGCTTAGCGCACTAGCAAACAGTGCATTGTCGCTCCTAGATTTTTACAATACTTTTTTACGAATGCCTCGTCTTCCTTTGGCCGATTACTGATTTAAGTAAATTATGATTAATGTGAGGTGAATGGCGAACCCTGTCATCTTACCGAGATGGTTGAAAATGCGTGCACAATGAA